TTGAGCTCTAAATTAGTGATGCTGAACAGCAAAAGGAAGAAAATGCACAGTGAAGCAGGAAATATGCCATATGTTATTGCATACCTGAGCACAATGGGGCCACTATCTTAATAGCTTTCTTAATGTTCCTGTTGTAGTGGATATTGGTGGACATATGTTATGCAGCCTGTTTTATAAGCCAGAGCATTTAGCTGACTTTGATAGCACCTTCTATTTTTCTGCTGTTTTCTGCTGCTTTATCTCAGAAGACATACATTTTATTTTGACCCTTTTTTTTCCTACCACAGTTGCGTATTCATCTTATTGTTCGGCTTTTCCACAATTTTAATCCCTCTTAGGCAATAATTTTGAACACAGATCTGTAGTCTTTCCATGTACAAAGGTCTTTTGACTCACTCTCCTCTGGCCTTATAAACTGCTCACACAACTGCAGAGCTGACCACGCTTTGCGTGGGCACAAGTGCAGTCAGATGCTTCCTGCCTGCCTCAGGGAGCACCAGCACACTGGAGCAGAAGTGGTTTCTACTTCACCTGGCTCTGTTTACACCATGTGAATGAGAAATGCAAGAGAACAACTTCTTGCTCCATCCTTTCTGGGGTGCCAGGTGTTGTCAAGGCCAGCTGGTACAGGCTACCAATGGGAAAGATTTCCTTATTTTTCTTAATAAAAAATGTTGATTTCATTTTTTTTAATCCAGTCTGACTTCTAAGTTGTTGTTTGTTTCTTTGCATGTTTTAATTGGATTTATCCAAGTCTGCAGCAAACCACCTGCAAGATTGAATACTTTGCTCTGTTTAGACAGAGAGTTGTGAATAATAGCTAAATGAGATAAAAAATATTTACAGAAACTTTTCTGCTAATTAGAAATATTAATTGAATAAATATCATTAGGATTTCTCTTACTCACTCTTAATGATGTTTCTGAAAACGTATCCTTCACATGCAATGTAAATTCTACTATGTCTGCAGTCAATGTTTGGATGAGCTGCAAAATAACATTTCCTCCTCCTTTCTTTCTCTAAGGACAGGTTTTCCTTTATCCTTTATCTCTGTTGTCTTCTTGTTTGTGGTGTTTTTTCCCCATTTAAAGTAATTTTGATATCAAAGTATGCCATCAGCTACCAACCTGCTGCTGAACTGTTAGCTTCTCAGCTTTCTTCACACAACAGAGCTCGGTTTGATTCTGTTGAAAATAGATAGGAAATTAAAACAAGAAATAAATATAAACTGGGAAAGTCTCTGACATTTATGGTGCATCTTCTACCCATAAACCACATGTAAATTGAACAACTCTCATAATCGTACCCCAGACAGAAACTTTACTAAATTCACAAGGTATCAGTCATTTAATAAAAATGTAATATTCTAGAAATATATGTTGTTGTGCAGAAGTATTTTTCTTTTAAATGCTAAATTTATACACAGAATAATGAGTTGTTCTTGAATATAGTAACAATCCTCCCTCCCCCTCCTTCACTGTTTCCTTCCAATGTTTTTGTATGACTCTGGGATTCTTTGAGTAAAATACTGCAGTACATTGTTAGGTCTTTCTATTTTTTAACCGTACATTTAGGTAATATAAATAACCGTCAGGAAATATGACAGTGTTCACAATTCCAATACTGTGATATCTTTAAAAATGTAACAGAAGGCAGATGTACAAGAACTCACAGTTCACAAGCCTTGAATCTGTCTGTGATTAGAAAATTTGAATGAGAAAACTCCAGACATCCTAGTAATTGTGATAGGTATATGAAGAGAACATTTCACCCTGGTTTTAGGAGGCTTCTTGCATTAGCCTGTTAGCATGGATAGCTTTCCATACTGATTTTGTGCCTGTGCTTTTCTATGAGTAGTGCAGACCTGCCTTAGGTGACCCCTGATACATTCATAGCCTTAGTATACTTATGTTTTTAATGTTAAGGTAGGAAAATTTAAAGCTCTAACCATTTATTGTTATTGTGGTGTAAAATCTGGTAGAATTAATTCTTCTTAAACATGTTTATTATTATTATTATTATTATTGCCTACTTACGTATAAGCTCTAGAATTTAGTATACTGGAAATAACAGTAATAGAAATACAAGTTTTTGCTTTGATAATTGTGTTGCTACTGTCTTGACCTCATTGCAGCATCTCTCTACAGGAGTAGACCATGTTTCAGAGCACATAGTTACACAAAATCCATAGGCCTTTCATTACTACTGTCACATATAATGCAAATAATACATGTATTGAAGATACAATAGCAGATAACTGCTTGGAGGAATTATGTCATGTAAACAGAGCAGAATAACTGAGTCGAATCCTTCTGACATATGCTCCACTTATGTCTTGTCAAGTGTGCTTAGGCTTGAGAACTGCTTAAAACCCATCTGTAAATGACTGGAATTTCTTATACGTTAGCTTGTCAATAGGCATTCTAATGTTGTGCTTCACTACAGACTGGGACTTGTTTTAAATAAAATTATCTAATTGCTAGTGAGTTCTGGCAAGAATGTCTTCTTTAGCATAACATTCAGAAATACCAATCTACGTACTCATGGACTGTCTTGATTAGTAGCTCTACTGTATCAATTTTATTAGGAAATAGAAGTTAGAATGAAACTCTCTTTCTGTTTTACAGATGGTAGATAAATAGTACATGCAGAAGCACCAGACTAAGTGTTTCTAATTTAACGAAGAAATATTTACAAATAAGTAACATGATTTTCCTTAAAAATGTAGTATGTGTTCCTAGGGGAACAATGTAAGCCAATACTTATTCACTATGGTTAATATATTTTAGATATATTTAGTTTCTTTAATTTAAAACTCTTTCAGTTGCTATCTTTAGTGATGTTAGATTATAATAAAATACTGTAGATTAGCAAAATGAATAGAAAATTAGGGAACAATAATGAAATTGCACTAATATATTCACAGGTACTTTTAATAATAAGGAGTAATTAATAACACTTTATCTAGAATTTTTAATGAAGTTATTATTGGACATTATGAAATTAAAGTAATTGAAAGGAACACTTCCTCAAATAAATTGTTTTTAAAAATCCTGTGAAACTCACTCAGGACAGCTAAATTTCTGATCAGCCTAGTCTTGTGTATCCAGCAGGGTGAAGAATTATTGACCAGCTGTTGACTCTTACTGGTGTACGGCTTATCAATTAGACTGTATCTGTAAAGATCAATGACAAGTTCATCAGTAGACAGTAGCATCATGTTTACAGTGCCATTGTACATAATCACATTGCAAAAATAGCTCTGATTTTTTTTAATACATTAGTACAAGCATTTGTACAAGCTTTATACTAAGCTTGCCTAACCCAGATTAATTTTTACACATGATGCTGTTTTGTTTTGTTTTTTTTTAATAATTACCTAACATGTTTTCTAAGCAAATGACATACTGTTAGATGTTTATGTGTAGTAGCATGACTGACCCTTTCTCACTGACAGGGACTGAGAGAAATTCCTAGAATAAAGAACAATCACAAGGGTTGTGAATTTCCTTTTCTGAAAACCTGATCAAGTTACGTAAGAAAAACACACACACAAAAAAAAAACAAAACAACCATAGGAAGTGCACAGAAATTTGTGATAGAATTTCAATGGAAGTGCAGAGATTTATATGGACAGAATCTGAGATGTATACCTTTAAATTTAAAACACAGGAAATTTTCGATTAATTACAGATGAGATAAAAATTACAAGTGAAACTCTGAAAGTAATATCTTCTATTTTATCCTGTTGGCTTGTGACATCAGAGGTATGTGTTGGTGGTATGGCAGTAGAGGTTGAACCTTCCAGCCAGTACTCTCTTACATTTTGTTGCAGTGACAGATGGCAGCAGAGGAGTAGTCTGACAAATTGGTGTCTAACATGGAATTGCGTACAGAGGAAAATGTGTAATTGAATTCCTCCATGTGGAAAAATGTCACCCATTGACATTCATTGATGCTTGCTGAACATTTATGGAGACCAAAAAGGGAATGTGAGCACAGTGAGGCAGTGGGTACTTCAGCAGTGGCAGCAGCAAAGTTAAAACAAGCCATGTTGAGTTGGCCTGAGTGACCATGTTGAGTGACCTATGTAGTAACAGAAAGAAACAATTTAGGTCTGCTAGAATTTATTTGCTCTTACTTGCAGTCTTCTTGAATTGGCTTGTAGTGTAGCTACACTGGGTAATGCTTGAGCTTGTAAGTCTTGATAAATCTGTTGTTCTGTGCAGAACTATTGAATACTCGTTTACTGTGCTCTGAGTGTTGACAGATGTTTTTGGTGCCCAACTTGAATGAATATTCTTGTTCTGATACAAGTTGTTATTGAGAATGTGGTCTATCAAAAGAAGATTTATAAAAAGTGATATATTTCTAGTATAGCCATATTTTAATGATGAATTTTATAATGGTCATATTTTTGTAAATAAACTCTCCCCTCTGTTATTAGTGTAATGTGAGGCCTTTGCAATGAACTGGTGGCTAGAAATGAGAGGTTGAAAATATATTTGATCTTTTGCACTGTTCCCAACATTCTTTTCTTCCAATAGAACACACACACACAAGAACAAAAAGAAAAGAAAAGAAAAGAAAAGAAAAGAAAAAAAACACTAGCAACTCAGGAGTCAGATGTGACTGCAGTAAATGTATACTGAATATCAATAATATTGCAGTTCAGAACTGTCAATCAATAAATAATGGCTTGAATCATCAGAAGGGAAGCAAGCAAGTGTAACCTGCTTCTCCCTGTGAAAGACAATTCAAGTAATTGCTCTAAAAACTTGTTCTTTTTTTTTTTTTTTCAATTGAAGAATCAATCGAAAAATATCCAGGCCATACTAAAAGTTAACAATACTGTAAGACTGCATCTCATCTAAATTCTACAGGTTTCCCCCAGTAATGTTTTCTTAGAAGAGATTTGATCTGCAATTGTTTTAAATTTGAAATGGCTTTTCCACCTAGTGCTCTCATCATTTTTTAAAAAAAAAACAATTTCATTTCAGATTAAAGAGACAGAAGAAAATGAGCTCAGAATCTGGGACCAGGCAAAGTTCCTTGTATGTTGTTGGAGATTCCACCAAGACAGCGAATGAAGACATGAGACATTACCTGCTGCAACAAGGCTAACAGGAAATGAAGGGGCAAAATACTTAATGACTTCATAAGACTTATGGGAAAATTAAATAATGGAAGTACATGCAACATACATTGAAACACTACATGCACTTTTTCTATGTATTTGACATTTTCAGTAAGGACCGTAGAAATGTGTCATTGTTCACCAGCTTAGAATATTTTGCAGTTTGTTCTTCCTTCTCCTTTGTCTTAATTGCCATCTTCTAAAGCAAAAGATGGATTCTAACTGATGTAGCCCATAATTTAATTTTTGGGGAAAAAAAAGTACAATTTACATGGCAAAGGAGGGAGTTTCATAGTTGATTCTGTGAAGACAGTGAGTCTGGAATGGAAGTCAGTGCTTTTTGCCTTGTCCCTTTCTTTTATTTTGTTTTTTCACACAGCAATGGGAAATAACTATTTCTCAGTTTCACTAGTTCTGCCAGAGTAACATGTTGTAGTTAAATCTAACATTTCTCTCCCTACTAATTTACTGCAAACTCCTAAATCTGCTTCATTGTTTTTGTAGTTGCTTTTTCTTTTTCTTTTTTTTTTTTAATTGAATTTGTTTAGGACCATAGAAAAAAAGAATTTATTACTTCCATAGTTAGTATCTTTGCTGTGGAAATTGGTGTGAATACAGTGTGTCTCATTTAAATTTTGATTAGATTTAAGTGTCTAAGGATTTATAAAATTTGTGAATGAAAAACATGAAAGGTTAACAATTACATAAGAATCATGTTTTGCCTAGGAATTTGTGAGCTGCTGGAGTTAGAACAATTTCATGACATCCCGTTGTGTAACATAACGAATGTAATGAACATAATGAAAATGTTAGTGTGGGCCATAGCAGTTGAATGTGCATAATTATTGATTTTTAAATGCTGTAATAGCCAAATGTACTTCTATGGTTGCACTGAAATACCTGAAAATATACTAATGTCTGAAAACAATTTACTGATGAAAGTTTTTATCTAACTTCTACAGACAAACAGTTTTTGTTGTCTCTGACAAGCCATTGGAAATAACAGTCTTTTAGAGATAAAACTCTAGGGTTTCAGCAATTTAGAAAAATTTCTTTAAGCCTACAGTACTATCTATGGCTAAAGCCAAGTCAAACAATTCCATGAGTTACTGAGGAAACTAAGATTTTATCTTTCCTTCTGTGTCTGTAAACATGAAAGAAAAACAAATAATGCTTAATTGATACTGGAGAACATCATCATAGTAACAACTTGCCCGACTAATAAGGATATTGATGGAAATCAACAGCTAGTTAAATAGCTAGGAGATACTTTCTGCTGATCTGACTTGCACTTCTGTATAAACCTTTAGTACATGTTTGTCCTTCACTTCACTGTATTATAATACGCAGTTGGTGTGATATACCTGGCTATTCCAGTGCTCATGGTTGCAATAAATAGATCACTGGACCTATTCTAGAATGTGTATTTCAGAATAATTATGCAGTATGTTTTCTTTCTCATGAAGAAACGCTTGGTATCCCACGATTCTTTGTAATCACCCGATTGACCATATTTTACTTTCAAGTGCTTTCTTTTTAATAGTGGTGCTTTAGTTTTATTGTAAGAGTGCAATAATCTGACAAATCACTTTAGTTTTTTATAATTTCTCCCTGTTCCCTATGCAAATTCAGCTAAATCTGCATCTGTTAACTGCCTAACATATTTATTTCAGCAACTACTTACACAGAGAACTTCAGAGGTCTCTGTGAAGAAGCATACCTGTAAATTAGTCACTTGAAAGAAACCCAAGAAATAATAATACATAATTGCCTTCTCTGCAGTTATGAATGTCAGAGAATGTTGATTTATGACCTTTTTGTCATAACACTAGAATATCTCCTGATCTTAAATGTACATCTATGATATTTGCTCTGTAATGATATTCCCATCCATTCACCTTCACATTCCCCTGGTGAGCAGAGAAGACACATATTTGTGCAGAAGGAGGGACTGGCTCAAAGTCAGTAAGGATAAAATTTGAAAAAAATTATCAGGAAAATTTATTCTAGATCTGTTTTCAAACCGTTGAGCCACCCTCAATCTCTCAGAGGGAATGATTGGTGTCTAAAATAGCGGAATGCTTCTAGAAATAAATAAATAAATAAATAAATAAATAACTAAATAAATAAATAGAATCATATTGTTATTCTCTTATCAAAACAGATGATACTGTGTACATTGCATGTCAATTAGTTTAACAAACAAATAACAAATACAGAAAGATCTACAGATAACTTTCACAGCTGGTAAATTCTGTTACATCTTAGTTAAAGCAACAAATGTTTTTATTATTTCATATTGGTGCAAAAACATTTAAAAGATTAGAGAGATAGGAAAGAATGATTAACAAGTTTTAGTGGTCATCTAGTAGTGGATATAGAAATAAGGCTTATGTTGTCTTATGCATCCTCCTTCCTAAATAAAATGCTTCTTTTCTGACAGATGTTTCAGCTTCCCTTTAGAGTATTTTGCAAACACTTTTCGACATATATTTCAAAAGAATGTGTTCTTATTCTGCTCCATCAAGTGAACATTGGAATATGTCTTAAGTGCATTTGAACAATCCTGGGCTTCGTCTCCAGGAGGGACAGAGATATCAGAGTTTAATTAAAAGCTGTGATTTTATTTTTTTTTTCCACAAAATCTACCTTTATCTTCTAACTCCTGTTGCCTCAACGAATTTGTGCATAAATCTTATCACATTAAAAGTTCATTTAAGGGTAACGTGAACCTATTTTCCTCAATTTAATGGGAAAAATCCTCAAATACTAAATTAAAAATATACCACTAAGTAACAATTTCTCAGGCACTGCAGAGATTCTTTAATGCCCTCTTCTAGAACAGAGCATTTATTGTATAACTCCAAGGAGAAGGTAAGGAATGTTGTTCAACCGAAATCAAAATCAAATTAATAATTTGTCTAACTTGACAAAAAAGATCTAAAAATCAGTGATTATTTCAAGAGATGTTGTCATGGTGTTCAACAAAAATAACCGTTCTCTAGTGAAGATATGATTCAGTTGCTTGCTTTAATCATGAACAGGCAAATCCACTTCAGAAGCCAATTGATTGTAATTAGAAAATGGCAATAAATAAGCTTATGCTGAGATTGAATAAAATAATTCTTAAAGTTATTAACATTTGAAAATAAGAAAATGAATATAAGAAAAGGACAAATAGAGACTGTGCTACTTTTCTTTTAAGCTTTGAATATTTTCCTAGTAAAAGATTCTAAAATGAAGAAATATTAACATATTGTCCATCACTGAACACATCAAATAAAATGCTATGATACATATACAACGTAGTATGTTTCTGTCAATAAATGAATGCTGTCCTCGCAGTCAGATAATAAAATACAAATGGACTTAGCAGCTTCTCCTTGTACATTACACTTATTCATTGGTATCAAAAACCACACAGAATTTAAGAGACATAACTTTAAGATTTGAAATATTTTGCTTTATTTGATTATTAAATCCTGTATCATGAAAAACTTAATCAGCAAAAACTAACTTACTGAATACAAAAGAAGCAAAGTTGTTTGGATGTATAAAAGGAAAACATGAAATCTTATTGCATCTACTGCAATTTTCTGGTGTTAAAATTTGATAGTTTATTCACCAAGATCAGAATGCATTCTTACCTTCAATTTTAAAAAGGAAAGCAAAAAACACATGTTGAGTTGGAAGTGTACTTAGGCTAACAAGAAGGCTTTATTGCTTGTTAGCTCTGTAAATCTGCTGTTACTGTTCATTTTTACTTCTCTTTGTTTGCAGACACTTGTTTTGCATATTTATGTAAAAGAAGATCTTTTCAGAGAACTACATTCTCTGAAATCTTGTTATATATGTACTCTTTTTAGTAATCTTGGGCTGAAGGAAAGATTACAATGTACTACGAAATGTTTCTGTTGTTATATTGTTTTTCTGCATATTTTAAAATCCTAGAGATCTCTTAATGGATTCTAAGTAGCATGCTTTTTTTTTTAATCTACTTAAGCACCTTTTTAGGGAAGTACCACAATTTCATTCTTAAAGGTAAATCTCAGAGTGAACTACTGATCTTGCATAGTTTCCTGCAAGATTTTCATGTAGTAGTGGATCTGTCTTGATTTCCAGCAGTAAGATCCCTTTTGGATATTTCTCAAGAAGTCTTACTTGGGGACTGATGAGAGTTAATTCTCCTACAGAAAAACCTATGTCTTTTGAGCCCAGAGAGTTGAGAAATAAAATAGGATTAATGGAAGCAGAAAGCTACGGAAAGTAAACATAGCCATTAATCACATAAAGGAGAGATGTAATAGCATGAGTAAGAATATATCTCAAGCCCAAATCAATACTAGCAAACTAGTCACATAATGGATGTTTGACTCAGTACTGGGTAGTTACAGTTGACTAAAGTTGACTATGTAATTAAAAGTAATTGACTTCAAAGTCATAAATATATTCCTCCTGAAAATAACTTATTAGTCATATTGTGCTTTTATTGAAGTGTTCACAGAAAGTGCAAATTATCATTGAAGAATTTTACTTTATATGTTTTTATCCACAGTGATAGAAGAGTTGCCGAGACTGCATCTTATAAAACTTAATAACTTGAATCAAGCTGAAAAATAAATGAAAAAATGACCCCAAAAGCAGCAAATGAAAGAAAAAGATACAACCTACCATGGTTTGGAACATGACCAAGAAAAAACAGAATTGTAGTATAAGGAAAACTTTGTTTACTTTTTAAAAAATACTAAGCAACTTTTATTTATGTCTTAATAGCACTCCAGAGATAAATTTTGAGAGAGAGCCGTGATTTTGAGCCATAAATCATTGTGAGTTATTTCCTCAAAGTTCAAGAAAATGGGAAGAAGTTTTTTTCGTTCTGTCATAGCTGATGCAAATCATTCTAGATAGATAGCTCTTTTCTTTCAATTTCTTTGGATAAAATTTACTCCTTAGTGATATTGCAATACTTGAATATTTGAATATATAAGTAGATATGCCATTTTTCTTAACGCATTTATGTAGTGTATCAATGCTTACAGTATGTTCTGAGATATTTTTACACTTCAATCCAGAATTATTCTCTTTCAATCATAAAAGTAGTATGCTATTAAATACATCAATGGTATTTCAAAGCTGTTTATGTATGATGAGCAAACTGACAACCTCTTCAGTGTGGGTCCCAGACAATAGTGATAATTGGTTACGTTGGTTTGTACATGAAGCATTGCAGAGTAATAATCTTATATAAGTTTGATATCTTAAAAGTCCATTGGTGATTATGTCAAATTTTTATTTTTGGCACCTAATGCACTTAGAGGCAATCAGTTGGCAGTAAAAAAAAGTAAGTGGAAACCTTTATTTTCTCCTCTTATTCTTCAGTATATAACCCAGGAAACAAAACATAGCAAAAGCAAAATCCATAAACAAATAAACAAACAAATAATCAGAGGGTACTGTAATGATTTTTGAAGTATTCTATATAAATAATGAAATATTCCAATCTGTCATCTCCTTATCAGCTAGCTGTGTGGCTACTAAATATTGTGTTACTTGAATTCATTGACAATTCATAAATTTGTATAAATCAAATCTGAATACTCAGCTTTTTTTCACTAAAATATTATTATTTTTTATTATTTTATTATCATAAATTATGTTTATCTGATTTGCAAATGCTATGGTACGGATTATCTGAACTGCTCAACATCAGCATGATTTCTCTTAAGCAGCCTCTTAAAATTCTTAAAAGTCAGAAGAGCTACATAGATAAAGACAGTTGGTTTCCAGGCTTTTTTCCATCTGAGACGTGAAGCACATAACTTAGAGAATCAATGGATGGGGTACATAATTGGTAAAGTTCACGTTGTAATTTTGTGGAAGATTGAAATCAGGATATTTTGCATAAATAGTAGTATTGATTTGTTCTGATTTTTCAGTAAAGAGGAATCCAGAATTGTCCATTTTGAATCAATTATTACTTATGGCTATGAAAATGAAAAATAATGCAGAGTGCATATGCTTTAAAGGTTTAAATTATACACATTTACCACATTTTGGCAGTTCTTTTGTTCAAACATGATATTTTTACTTGTTTGTTTGGTATGGTGATAAAATAAGAAGAAATATTCATATCGTGTGCTGCCATTTTTGAGGATTTTTCTTTTAGTTCTTTCTAACTGCATTTAAAAATTAAATTTTTTTTCTGAGCTGATAGTCACTGTCACTCATTCATTATATTTTCATTAAGAAGTGTCAAACCTGAATTTAATAAATTGCTTTGTTGTCACGGATTTGACCAGATCAATCTATGTCCGTGACAGGGGCGACAGGCCTCTGCCCTCCCCCCCCCACCCCAGTCCCACAAAAATGGGAAGGAAGGAAGGGAGGAAAAGAACAGCGGCAATAATCTATGGAGGAAAACTTATTTTACTATAATATCGGAATACAAGATAACACAATAGATACAATTTAATTGCAATTGAGATTAATAAATCAGACAAGATGAGAGAGAGAGAGTTCCCGGGACCGATTCAAACCTGAAAAGCTTGGAACGGCCAGGAAAGCACCCTCCAGCACCCACTGCCAGGCAGCAAGAGAGCGCCCCCCCCACCCGGAAGGGCCAGATCCCGTGACTTCTGTAATGTACAGGGATAGGTAGCTGGGATTGGGGCAGTGACACTTTAATGTCCCGTACACTACATGATGTTTTGATGTGGAATACTGAAACCCAAAAACAAAAAAACAAAAACAAAAAACATAGAACCATGACATTTGTAATTTTATTTTTTTAACATTAAGCGCATGAAGTGAAGGAAAATCAGATCCTGTTTCTCTTGTTTTGTGTGTAGATGTGTCCTGGCTACACTAAGAGTCTTCATTTAACAGAAAAGATGGGAAAAAATCTTAGCAAAACTGAAAGCAGAATAAGAAATGTATGTATTCTTTTACATTTCTTTAGCCGCAAAAAGCCTGAAGTGGAACAATTTTTAAATAGAATTGAGGACACTGGTGCTGACAGGGTATGTGTGAATTTAATTATTGATTGACCAGACTGCTTTTCAGGAATTATTGATAGCATATCCTCCAGA